GAAGTCGGTGGGGGAGCCCCGCTGCAGCCGCCCCTCGATCTGCCCCAGGCGCTCGTTGAGGAAGCCGGGGGAGTCGGCGAGGGGCAGCCCGGCGCCCAGCGCGGGGGGAAAGCCGTGCAGGTCGGGGTCCAGAGCGCCCAGGAAGCCGCCCACCTCGGCCATGGGCGCGGAGCGGAGCGGCCCCGGGGGCGCGGGCAGAGCGGCCGCTCAGAGCGCGGGCTGCGGCCGCCCGGCCCCGCGCTGCCGGCCCCGGCCCGGCCCCGCGCCGCCCGCGCCTCCCATCGCTGGATCCAGTGTCCCGCCGTCGGATGCGAACTGCACTTTATATACGTACACACTCCCCTTACATTGACATATTGGATATTTAAATGCAAGCCACACCTCACTGGCATCCCCTTTGGCGATTGCTTCCCTCCCTCCTCCCCCCACCCCCCCAATTCTCTGATGCATTTGGCTTTTTTTTTTTGCCTTAAAAAAAAAAAAAAAAGGGCCCGCTTCACTCCCTCTTTTATTATGAAAAAAATGGCAGGAAAAAGCTACACATCGCAGTGAGGCGTAACAGCTCTTGGCAGGTCCCGCCAGCCGACGATGAAATCATGGAGCCCCCGCACGCACCCGCTCCCGCACCGCCGGCAGCCCGGGCCCCGCTCCCGGCCCTGCCCGGCCCCGCAGCCGCGACCCCGACCCCGCACGGGCCCGGTGGGTCGGTGGCCCCGGGGCCGTCGGAAGCCCCGGGTCCGTCGGTACCGCCGCAGCCCCGAGCGTGCCCCCCACCCACCACCCCCCGGAACGGACACGGTGGAAAAAAGCAACACGTGAGGAGAGGGTCGGTCGCGTTTTTCAGCCGAATGTGTAAAAACGGAATGTGATCTTTCTGAAAGGCGATCCCGCGGGCTGTACGGCCGGGTTACAGCCACCGGGAGGGGAGGGAGCCCGCGGCGGGGCCGGGCAGTGCCGCTCCTGTCCCTCCCCACCTTCCCCATGTTGGAAACAGGTGTTTCCGCGCTCTCCCGGCCCGCCGACACCGTATCTGGTGGCGGCAGCTGCGGCCGCGCTGCAGACAGACGGGGCCGGCGGAGCGGGAACCGGCGGGAAGCGGGCACGGACGGGCCGGAGGGACCGAGGGCAGGCAGCGCCCCCGCCCTGCCCGGCAGGCGGCGCTGCTGCTCGCGCCGCGCCGCCCCGGGGCGCCGGGCCCATGGCGGGCGCTGAGGGGGACCAGGTGGGCCCGGGACTGGGTTGTCGTGTCCCTGGAGCGGGGTATCGCCCGCGCCCTCTGCCGTGCCCTGTCAGGGGACACAGACCCCACAAACAACCAGAAGCACCCAAAACTGCTCCCAAGCCGCCGGTCCGCTCTGCTGCAGCGGCTCCCCCGGGTGGCATCAGTGTGCAGAGCTGAGGCATCGGTGATGTCCACCTCAGCGTGTCTCCCACACGGGGTAGCCCCACCGTGGAGTCTCTTCCCAAGCGGGTATTCTCTCAGAAGGTCTCTCCCCTCAATGGGTCCCCCCATAATAGGTATTCCCTCAGCAGGTTTATCCCCTTATCTGATCTCTTACTTCAGCAGATCTCTCTGCAGCGTGTCTCTCATAGTGAGTCTCTTCCTCCAGCAAGTCTTCTCTCAGAAGTTCTCTTCTCTCAGTAGGTCTCTCCTCAGCAAGTCTACCACATGGCGGAAGAGAACTCAGCATGTCTGTCACTGGAGAAACTCTCACCCTTCCAGTAGATTTTCCTTCAGGGGATTCCCACTAAAGTGAGTCTATCCCCTCATCAGGTCTCTTCCCTCAGAAAGTCTATCCCATGGGAGATCTAAACCCTCAGCAGGTCTTTCCTCTGGGAGAGTATGTGCCCTACTGTGGATATGCTCTCAGTGGGTTCCCACCATAGTGGGTCTCTCCCCTCATAGAGTATCTTCCCTGCTGTGGATTCTCCCTCAGAGGGTCCCTGCCATGGTGGGTCTTCCCTCTGTGGGTCTCTCCCCTCAGAAATGGTCTCCTCTGCAGTGTGGTCCCCCCATTTTGAGTCTTTCCTCAGCAAGTCTATCCCATAGCGATTCTCCCCTCAATGGGTGTCTCCCTCACAATGGATTCCTCAGGGGGTTCCCGCCAGAGCAAGTCTCTCCCCTCAGAGAGTGTCTCCCACACCATGGTTGTGCTCTCAGCAGGTTCAGACTCATCATGGGATAGACGATGTCACCATCATGGGTCTCCCCTTAGAGTGTCTCTTCCTCAGTAAGTCTATCCCATGGTGAGTCTCCCTGCAATGTGTCTCTCCCCTCAGACTGTCTCCCCCACAGCAGATTCCATTCCTGCCATGGCGTGTCTCCCCTCAGTGTATCTCTCCCATCAGAAAGTCTCTCCCCATCAGGAGGTTCCTGCCATGATGGGTCTCCCCTCAGCAGGTCTCTCAATTTGAAGAGGGGCTCTGTCACAGTGGATTCCTCCTAAGTGGGTTCCTGCCGTGTGGAGAAAATCTCTCCCCCTCAGATGGGTTCCTGCCATGGTGGGTCAGCTGCGTTTCTGCCATGGCAGGTTTCCCCTCAGCAGGTCTCTTGCCCTCAGTAAGGTGCTGCTCCCCACATCACCCTAGAGGGAGGGTTAGAATGGTCCCTGCTTGCAGGTCCCTTCCCTCAGACCCAGGCAGTGCTCTCCTGTGCAGATCTGAAGGAAATTGTGATACAGTGATGTGAAACTGTGAAACATGCCCATGTGTCTGCAGTAGGTGAGGAGTCTGGTTTGTAAAAGAGGTTTGGAGTGGTTTTGGTTTTCCTGTCAGAGCTGTGGCTATTAAAGGGGTGTTGATGCAGAATTTGGCACATGAAGCCTAAACTTATGTTTTTTATAAAAATATAGGCTGTTTCAGAGGTAGTAAAATCTACTGAAGTGCATTTGTTGACTATTTGTTTATCATGTTTGGTTACGTGGAGATATCACCGTCTGAGGAGTTCAACCATCCCACTGCAAAAATTATGGCTTTATTGCTGTAGTAGCTATATGAAGACTCAGGTGTGATGACATAACTGAAGGAAATAAATTGTGCTTTGGTGAAAATGACAGAGGTCCAAGATAGGAAGGGCCAGACACAGCTGATGGGACACTCCAAACCTGGAATTACTGTTAAGGATGTAATCCTGCAAAGGCTATGAATTTAAATCATAAGATTAATGTAAAGTGAATGATCCTGCTACAATCCAAGACACTCTTCTGTGAAACCTGGTTTTGCTGATATGTGTGAGGTTTGCCTGTGGATCCATTGCAAGTTCATGTTTTTGAATCCTTATTTCTGCACATGTCTGAGGGCTGATCCCAAGGGGATTAAGAAGCGAGGAAGACCTAGTTTCCGCAGAGGAAGACTAGCCAAACTCTGCAGAGGCCACTGCCACAGACTTCAATCTCCTCTGGATCTGTCTACAATATCCTTAAACCCAAATCCATACAAGCATTTAGTGGAACACTTAGGAAACTGAAAAAAGGTAACAGAGTTCAATTATAGTACAGTAAAATCCAAGATAAAGTAAAAACCCACAAACCTTCGTGCTTAACTAATGTATAACAAAAGCAGCACAATCCCCCATCCAAGCTGACATTCCTCACTTAACTCTCCTGATTATGGTCAGCTTTTGAAGTGTCCGCAATACATTTTATTGAGAAATCGTACATGCTGGTACAACATGTTCTATTTAGGCACAACAGGATGTGGAAAAGGTAGCTTTCTCATCTTTTTTCTTTTTTTCTTTTTTTGTCTTTAATTTCCTGGTTTATTTATGTTTTTACTAAGCTGAGGAAAAAAGCAGACATTTGTGCCCTGTGTTTTTGAAGAGAAAGAGAGATGTATTTTAAGTACTGAAAGCTAAAATGACTCCTCCAAAAGCAGAAAATAGTTTAGCGATTGTTTTATGCATGACAAAGAACACAGTTCTGCACTCAGTAATTTCTTAAAGGAGGACAAAAACTTACTTACAGTTTGTGTCACAGAACATAGAGTGTTACAAAATTAACTTTCTGCTCTGCTTTGTTTTAGTTGATTTTCAGTTCCACCAAGTTTATTCTTTGATTACAGTTTGTATTGCCCACCTTGTGAACTAAAATGGCTACTGCCAAACTGCTCTGTCTTTCAGTTTTCAGAAGAATTAACAATCATTTTTATACCCAGTTTGCTAAAACAGACCTTGCAGACTCCTTCCACACGCTGTAGAAGTGTATTTAGTGAGGTAGTAAAAATATTAGTGGCAATTACTGTCAGAGTAATTTCTATCCATGGAGTGTAGCCACATTTGGTATCTGGCTATAAAATCGAAGGAAGAGCAGGACTGGGATCTGAACAGTAGATAGATTAGAAAAGAATAAGATAAATAACTGCAATGAGCCAGCCCAGTATCTGAGCTACTAGATACTGCATATCCTCTGCCTGGGGCTATTCCATTTGGTAAAGAAAAGATCAAGACAGCTGAAATAATTTGAAGTAGCAATGGCCATGAATGCAAAAACAGACGTGAAGAATATCTGAGGATAAAGAAACAACAGAGCCCTGAGCTTTAATAAATAATACTTCTGCTTCCTTAGCACTTCCCACCTTGAGATCTTACAACAATCTTTGTGCACTAGTTAATTAAGAATCACAAGGTCATTGTGCAGCTCCTTTTCCCTGGACAGGCTCCTTTTCCACTAAGAGATGTTGTCAAAAGGATATTGATGGCTTTCTGTATTTGTTTGGGATTTTGGATGCATAGCAGCCCCGCTGGAGCAGAAGCTCTGACCAGGTTTCTGTATATCCAGAAACCAGACATGTCCACTGTGAGCCTTTCTGCCTTTTGTGGTGTGGTGACCATCTGTGCTGCACATGCAAGGAATGTCTGAGCTCTCCGGGCAGATAAATACGGCAATCTCCTTTGTCAGGGGGTGAATAAACAAATTTTCTTAAGGGGAACAGAGGATGGTTTATTGGTTTTTATCTTTGATTGGTTTTACTTAAGCTACTATTATTATTATCATCTTTTGTAGTATCACTTCCAGGCCTATTTGTGCTGGATACTTCGTTAACAAGTGTGTAACAAACCTGAGTGCTTGACCTGAGGAGTCTCACTGCTCTGCCTTGTGGAAGGATTCCTACTGGAAGGCAACAGAATCTCCTTCAAGGTATAGAACTAGGTGTAAAAGTATGGGATTTTGACACACTTAGAATTGGTGGCAGAATGAAGGTAAGGGTATAAAGGATAAAGCTCTGAACTTGCCTACCTGGGTCTTGGAATCAGATGCCTAAATAAATGATGTGACTTTCAAAAGAGGAAGTACCCAGCTCTTCCAGTTATTGATAGTTTGGTGTCAAACATGAATCTGTTGGTTTTAATTATCCCAGTATGAATTAACAGTAAAAAACAGAACTGTTCTGGCTCAACTCTGACTTATGAAAACTCCCATTTGGAGATGATTGTTGTAACTGAGGTCTGCAGTCTTTAGAGGAACAAGTCAGGGACAAATATATGCAAATGAGCATCATGTGCAAATGAACACGGGAACTTTGCTGACCCTCAGGTAGGTTGTTTTGCCATGGTTCTGTCCCATTTGAAAATTGCAGGTTCCCTGGCATGGCTAAGGGCAGGTTTGAATTCTGACTCAAATGATTCATGTTAATACATCTCCAAGTGCTGCATGCTGACTGAAGAATGGGAAAGGCTCCTTTCTTGGAGTAAAGTGGTGCATAATACTGTTTCCTCCATTTGTAACTTTTTTTTCTGGGGATTTGGGCTAGAATTACAGGACCACTGAGTCATTAGGCCTAACTGGTGACTTGTGAAGCTGGTTCGCAATTGAAGCTTGCCCCTTTTGCTGTAATTAGGGAATAAAAAGGAGGTTAACAATGCAACTCCCCTCTGGAAAACACAGAACACATCAAATTAAATACAAGAACTGGTTCTGGTCTTCCTCAAATAAAAAATGCTGTCCTTCATAATGTTCCTCTTCTAAGTGTGCACCTTTTAACTGTAGCGGCTTCTTATGGAATTATCTGTGACCATGGTGGGGTGTGTGTTTATATTTGCATCAGTGAATATTAGTCAAATACAAAAAAGAGTCACAGCAAAGTTCTGTCTAGCCCCATATCCTGCTTCTTGATAATGGCTAATAACTTGTATATGGAAAACAGGACGAGTATAGAGTGACACTTCCTTTGGTAAACCCTCCCAGCTTCCAGTGGTTTCTGTTTTAGAGACCTTCCTGAGCTGGAGACTGCAGCTGTATCATTGTTTTTGATATTCCTTGATGGACCTTTTTCCATAAAATTGTCTAATCTTTTTTTTTTTTAAACCACTTGTATTTTTGGCTGCCATAACATCCCGTGGCAATGAGTTCCACAACATCATTAGGCATTGTGTGAAAATGAACTTCCTTTTGTTTGCTTTTCAACCCGCTTGCTGCCTGCCAGTTTGAGTTGGATACTTTAAAATAATCATTGCTGTTTACCTTTTCTGTGCTGTAACAACTTGTCTAGAACTTAATTGTTATTATCCTTGTTTTCCAGATTGAAAGGCTCTGGCTTGCTTAAGTTTCCCTTGTGCTAAAGCTTTCTACCACCTTGTATGCAGCTTTGGTACATTATGCTTTTTGCCCTTTCTGTGGTTCTGTATTTCCGCAGTTACTAGAAGTGCAGTATTGAAGGGATGGGCATACTGTGGGTTTATTCAGAGGTATTCAGAGGAATACCATTTTCTACTTTGTTCTCATTCTCATTTTTCTAAAAATTGTTAACAGGATAGTTTTCCGCAAATGCTGACAGCTGACACTGTGCTGGTCTTTTTGGAGAATGATCCACTTCTCCAAGATTTCTTTCATTACTGGTAATAGAGGATTTAAAGTATGGCAAGAATGGCATTTCCCTCATCCAGTATTTTTTACCCATGCACTTAGAGTTAAATTTACTATTTTAACACCCACTGGCCTTGTATCATTAGCCACCTACCCACAGCATTTCCAGATCATTTATGGAATATGAAGCAGCAGGAGACACATCACAGACCTTATTCTGAGTCTATAGGGAGCTCCAACATTCCTGACATCAAACATTTGTTTCTCTTGGTTATGATCACCAGTTATGTCACTTATTCTCTCATCCTTGCAGTGAGGCTTGTTCATGACCTGGATTTCATACCAAAGTTAACGGCCTGGCAATTTCCCATGGGATACCTGCAGGGATCATCAGTTAATCTTCATATCATTGTGCTATTTTCATCTGTGATGCTGCCTTAAATTCATTCTCCTTGCAAAATAGCTGTAGGTGTCTGTATTGAACATCAACACAAAGATTCATTGAGTTTTCTTGCTACCTGGGACTGTCTTTTCAATGCCTTAGGCAACTCTTGGTGCTGTGAGTGTTCAGACTGAGGCACAGATTTACACAGTGGAACAGGGTCTGTAGCTTTCTGTGGTCAAGTTGCTTTGGAAGTTTTGGCCCAGTATCTCTGTATCTGTCTTGAGATACTTGTTCTCTCACTGGAGACTAAAACTGAAATATATTGGTGTGTGAGATGGAGTTAGGAATCAGGGTTATTCTAGAAGTGGATGATTAGATGGGACATCCTAAAATAAAAAATAGAGTGACAAAAAAGGGAAAAATAAAGTAAAAACAAAAAAACTGTCTCCTACTTATGCTGAAAAGCTCCAGTTTGTGCATTTTTGGTGACTGAAACTTTTCAGCTTTACTGCTGTTCATGTGAATAACATTACTCAAGTTCCTTCCTGCGTTAATGTGTATAGCATGCTTATAAAAATATGCATAAAAACTTGAAAAACATAAATAACCTGATTTGATAATTATTCTGTTATTATTATTTTCTGTATATTAATTCAGTATACCTTACAAAGTTTGTTATTTTCCCTAATGAATCAGGTAATTAAAATGCAGCATTAAAAAAGCATCTAGGTACTTTGCAAACTTGGTTAGAGAAATGGAAGTTCTACAATCAAGCAACCAACTGCCCCACAAATCATGATGCTTCATCACTAGATCTCTGTGGAGAGAGGAATTAATGGGCTGAGAAAAACGCTGTGAAGGTGTACTTGTGATGAGTTCTGCAAACAGCCAAAGGACAGGGAGGGCACAGACCTGCTTGTATCCCAAGACACCCACAGAGATGTTTGTTTTCAGGAGAGCCACTTGAGTTTCATAACATGAGTTTCCTTAAAATCTGTCTTGAGAAATCTGGAGTTAAAGAACCCAGTTTCTGTAGTCTTAACCTTTCATAAATGCAGTATTTAGTAATCACAGTTCTGGTAGATTGAGTTTCATGTGAGATCTCAAAATGTTTATTTTACAGCATCCTTTGCTGTGTTTGTGTAGCGTTGCTGTTGCCTTTCTCCAGATGGGAACATGCAGGAATGCAGGAACCAGGTGGTTTGCTCAAGGACATGAGGATGTGTCTTGAGTGCAGTTAACTGGTGCTTTACTGGCACTCCTGTTAGCTCTGCTTTGGTCTGAGCAGTCACCTGGATTGTGTTTACTTCCCTTAGCATTCCTCAACTCCATGTCCTGCAAGGAAGTTACCCTGAGGACGTGTAGGGTCCTGAGCAACAAGCAGAAGTCTGGATTCTCAAACTACTGCTTTAATAGTATGGGTTATTTATAGCCTTATCAAATTTGGGAAAAAATATTAGAGGCATCTTCTCATGCAGTAGTGTTGGGAAATCCTGTTGCTGAAGTTTTCTAAAAGATTGGAAATTTCTCAGATATCTCCCTCAGCATTAAACTAGTCAAAATATGAAAATTCAAGTATTGTTCTCAAAAACTTGTGAGCTTCAGTGTGGCAATGACTTTGAAGATCATGCTGGGCCTCCGGTTTAGTGTAGTTGGAGTCTGGTTCTGTCATTAGAAAAATCAGAATCAAATGAAAAAAATTAAAATAACACTTCTGGAGCTTCCTTTGTAAACAAATCTGAAACCTTAAGGCCAGGAGAAGAGCACTGTGGCTACCAACTGGTATAACTCAGTTTGGGATTCATAGAAGGAAATTATAGATCTCAGATATATACTACCTCACAGGAATATTGTAATGAAATCCAGACAGCTTCAAGGGAAAAACAAAACCTATTGATTTTATTCCAAGGGAAGAGAGAGAAAAAGAACAGATGTGTGGAGTCTTCTGTCCACTCACTGCAATCTGTAGTGCCGACTTAAGCCATTGTTTCTTCTTGTGCCTCCTTCTGTAGAAATGCCTTGGTTTAGGCACTAAATGATTAAATTTGGGATAGTAGTGAGGAAGGGGAACAAGGACCTCACGCAAGAACTGACCTAAACTCTGAGGAGGTTTGTATAATCTAATTTGCAATAAAATGGTATTTACAATGTTATCAGACAAAGCTTAGCAGTGTTAAGTTAAACAGCATATAATGTGATTAGTGGGGGAGTCAATGCCCATGATGTCATACACATTCTCTGAACTCTTGGAATGGGCAGATAATGTCTCAGGCATTTATTCTCTTGTGACACACACGAAAAGCTCCGTGAAGCTTTGGGGGATGGGAAGGAAATGCGCACATGCTCGGCACCGCGCGTGGAGCTCGCAGCACCACAGACGGCTTCTCCCTTTGGCGCAGAGCTCGACCTGTGGTTGCACCCTGCCAGCACAGTGCTGTGTAGTGGTTAAAACAGGCCTTTGGGAATAGTTTAGAAGCTTGAAATTCTATTCTTGACTCTGCCGCAGACTTGGGTTTTGACCGCTAAATCTTCTTTGCCTCTGGTAACTCCATTTTTAACTAGCAAAGGTAGTCAGCCGTGTCTGTGGAGTGCCCGGAGTGAGGAGCTGTATGGAGATGGAAACCACTGGCATTCTGCTCATTATGCAGAACAAATACAGCTAGACCACAAAGAGCTTTGCTGTAGATAACGGCGAGCAATTTCACAGCTAGTAATGGCCCATTCAGAGAAAATTAAATCTTTATCTTTCTGTCTCTCCGAGGCATGCAAAATGGTATTTAAAATGTTGTCTGGTCTAATTCATACAGATAAGCAATATAAATCTCACCTATAGGTTCACATAAAATGTAATCTAGACTGTATTTATTTTAATGTTTTGCTTTAAAAACTCTTGCTAAAAGCTGCTGAACCAGGCAGAGCTCCTTTTAAACTTTCAAGTTATTTTAGTGGT